TACAACAGACATAAGACACTGCACAGCAGACACAAGACACTGTACAACAGACATAAGACACTGTACAACAGACACAAGACACTGCACAGCAGACACAAGACACTGCTCTGTATACAAAAGACACTGCACAACAGACTCAAGACACTGCACAGCAGACACAAGACACTGCACAGCAGACACAAGACACTGCTCTGTATACACAAGACACTGCACAGCAGACAAGACACTGTACAACAGACACAAGACACTGCACGGCAGACACAAGACACTGCTCTGTATACACAAGACACTGCACAGCAGACACAAGACACTGTACAGCAGACACAAGACACTGCACAGTATACACAAGACACTGTACACCAGACACAAGACACTGCACAGCAGACACAAGACACTGCACAGCAGACACAAGACACTGCTCTGTATACACAAGACACTGCTCTGTATACACAAGACACTGCTCTGTATACACAAGACACTGCACAGCAGACACAAGACACTGCACAGCAGACAGAAGACACTGCACAGCAGACACAAGACACTGCACAGCAGACACAAGACACTGCACAGCAGACACAAGACACTGCACAGCAGACAGAAGACACTGCACAGCAGACACAAGACACTGCACAGCAGACACAAGACACTGCACAGCAGACACAAGACACTGCACAGTATACACAAGACACTGTACACCAGACACAAGACACTGCACAGCAGACACAAGACACTGCACAGCAGACACAAGACACTGCTCTGTATACACAAGACACTGCTCTGTATACACAAGACACTGCACAGCAGACACAAGACACTGCACAGCAGACACAAGACACTGCACAGCAGACACAAGACACTGCACAGCAGACACAAGACACTGCACAGCAGACACAAGACACTGCACAGCAGACACAAGACACTGCACAGCAGACACAAGACACTGCACAGCAGACACAAGACACTGCACAGCAGACACAAGACACTGCACAGCAGACACAAGACACTGCACAGCAGACACAAGACACTGCACAGCAGACACAAGACACTGCACAGCAGACACAAGACACTGCACAGCAGACACAAGACACTGCACAGCAGACACAAGACACTGCACAACAGACTCAAGACACTGCACAACAGACTCAAGACACTGCACAGCAGACACAAGACACTGCACAGCAGACACAAGACACTGCACAGCAGACACAAGACACTGCACAGCAGACACAAGACACTGCTCTGTATACACAAGACACTGCTCTGTATACACAAGACACTGCACAGCAGACACAAGACACTGCACAGCAGACACAAGACACTGCACAGCAGACACAAGACACTGCACAGCAGACACAAGACACTGCACAGCAGACACAAGACACTGTACAGCAGACACAAGACACTGTACAGCAGACACAAGACACTGCACAGTATACACAAGACACTGTACACCAGACACAAGACACTGCACAGCAGACACAAGACACTGCACAGCAGACACAAGACACTGCACAGCAGACACAAGACACTGCACAGCAGACACAAGACACTGCACAGCAGACACAAGACACTGTACAACAGACACAAGACACTGCACAGCAGACACAAGACACTGCTCTGTATACACAAGACACTGCACAACAGACTCAAGACACTGCACAACAGACTCAAGACACTGCACAGCAGACACAAGACACTGCACAGCAGACACAAGACACTGCACAGCAGACACAAGACACTGCTCTGTATACACAAGACACTGCACAGCAGACACAAGACACTGCACAGCAGACACAAGACACTGCACAGCAGACACAAGACACTGCACAGCAGACACAAGACACTGCACAGCAGACACAAGACACTGTACAGCAGACACAAGACACTGCACAGCAGACACAAGACACTGCACAGCAGACACAAGACACTGCACAGCAGACACAAGACACTATACAGCACACACAAGACACTATACAGCACACACAAGACACTGCACAACAGACACAAGACACTGCTCTGTATACACAAGACACTGCACAGCAGACACAAGACACTGTACAGCAGACACAAGACACTGCACAGCAGACACAAGACACTGCACAGCAGACACAAGACACTGCACAGCAGACACAAGACACTGCACAACAGACACAAGACACTGCACAACAGACTCAAGACACTGCACAACAGACTCAAGACACTGCACAGCAGACACAAGACACTGCACAGCAGACACAAGACACTGCACAGCAGACACAAGACACTGCTCTGTATACACAAGACACTGCACAGCAGACACAAGACACTGCACAGCAGACACAAGACACTGCACAGCAGACACAAGACACTGCACAGCAGACACAAGACACTGCACAGCAGACACAAGACACTGTACAGCAGACACAAGACACTGCACAGCAGACACAAGACACTGCACAGCAGACACAAGACACTGCACAGCAGACACAAGACACTATACAGCACACACAAGACACTATACAGCACACACAAGACACTGCACAACAGACACAAGACACTGCTCTGTATACACAAGACACTGCACAGCAGACAAGACACTGTACAACAGACACAAGACACTGCACAGCAGACACAAGACACTGCACAGCAGACACAAGACACTGCACAGCAGACACAAGACACTGCACAGCAGACACAAGACACTGCACAGCAGACACAAGACACTGCACAGCAGACACAAGACACTGCACAGCAGACACAAGACACTGCACAGCAGACACAAGACACTGCACAGCAGACACAAGACACTCCACAATAAACACAAGACACTGCACAGCAGACACAAGACACTGCACAGCAGACACAAGACACTGCACAACAGACACAAGACACTGCACAGCAGACACAAGACACTGCACAACAGACACAAGACACTCCACAATAAACACAAAACAAGACACTACACAGTATACACAAGACACTCCATAGTATATATGATACCCTGCACAATATACATGAGACACTGCACAAGGTCAATTAATTACTTAATTTCAAACAACAGAGAGGTTGAGGTGCTTCTGTGTTGGTGTGGGGGGGGATGAACCCTGTACCTCTCACTGAGCTACCTGCACTCCTCCAGCATGAAGTTAGTTTTTTGTTCAACATTCTGGACCATTTATATTTATTTTTCTGTTTGAGTTCTTCCTGTTGAGGTGTTGTTTTTTTTTTCTCAATTTCCAGAGAATTCTTTATACACTTGGAAAATTGACTTTTTTTCTGTAGTGAGTTACAAAAAATTTTCCCAGGAGAGTAAGATTTCCCAAGCTCCTAGGAAAACATTGATTTTTCAATCTATATCCATGGTAACAGCTAACACCAGAACAGGTTATAAACCTAGCTGATCAATCAATGACAGCCTGGTTCATTTAAAACACCTCTGAAAACTGAATGAAAATGAGGACATGACTGCTCCAAGGTATGGTTGATGAGAAGGTTATTGCAGATACGAGAAGTGCACAGCCAGAGGGATCTGGGAGAGTCCAGACTTAATAGGGCCATGAGAGGAGGGCAAAGGGAAGAGAGGAGAGGAGAGAGAAAAGGAGGACAATGAGAGAAACAAGAGAGGCCATGGTAGAAATAGCAAGTTTATATAAGAATGAGAAGCTGGGGGAGGGGGGCTGGGCTGGAGAGGGCTTTTGGGGGCTGGGAGAGTCACAGATGCTGAAGTGAGCCTAGAAGCCAAACATACACTTTGGTGTGCTAATGAACACCACAGTTAGCCATTGTCTTGGTTTTCTTTGGGACCTCACAAAACCCAATCCTTTACAGGCTCTTTTGGTTTATTTGAGACAGGGTTTTCCTTTGTAACCCTGGCTGTCCTAGAACTCAGAGAGATCCACTTGCCTCTGTCTCCCAAGTGTTGGGATTAAAGTAAAAGTGTGAGCTACCACCACTGGCCCGAACAGGCTCTTGCTTTGAAAGTCAGCTCACCGTTGGTGGTCCATGCCAGAAACACCCTTCTGAAGCTGACTGCAACCTACTCCTGCTTCATAGTCTATCAGACATCATGTTATGTAGCCTAACACCCTGAGTCCTCATCACATCACCTATCGCCAGTTGGTTTTGTGTCTAACAATCATCCTGTCTCTTTTGCATAGGTGGTAAATTCAGATTTAGGGCCTCAATTTTCACATTTTTAAAAAAGGCTTTGGAGGCTGTCCTGGAACTCACTTGGTAGTCCAGGCTGGTCTCGAACTCACAGAGATCCGCCTGCCTCTGCCTCCCGAGTGCTGGGATTAAAGGCATGCGCCACCAATGCCCGGCTAATTTTCACATTTTTTTGTCTCTCATGTTGACACTAGTTTTTCATTTCACTTGAAGAGACTGTTTGGGCCAGGCGTTGGTGGCGCATGCCTTTAATCCCAGCACTTGGGAGGTATAGGCAGGCAGATCTCTGTGAGTTTGAGGCCAGCCTGGATAGACTCCAAAACCACACAGAGAAATCTTGTCCTTTTTTTTTTTTTTTTTTTTGAGACAGGGTTTCTCTTTGGAGGCTGTCCTGGAACTTGCTTTGTAGACTGGGCTGGCCTTAAACTCACTGAGATCCACCTGCCTCTGCCTCCCAAGTGCTGAGATTAAAGGGGTGTGCCACCAACGCCCGGCTGAAATTCTGTCTTGAAAAATCGAGAGAGAGAGAGAGAGAGAGAGAGAGAGAGAGAGAGAGAGAGAGAGAGAGAGAGAGAGAGAGAAGAGAGAGAGCCCAACCGCAACCGCAACTGATTCTTTTAATTTGGTGTACGCCTTTAATCCCAGCACACAGGAGGCAGAGGCAAGCAGATCTCTAAACTCTAGGGCAGCCTGGTCTACAGAGTGAGTTCCAATCCAGCCATGCTATTTATATTTAGTGAGACCCTGTCTCAAAAAAAAAAGACTTTGAATTTGAATCTATTTATTTTCTGTTTATGAGTGTTTTGATTATCTTCAGGCATGATGCCTGGTGCCTGAAGAGGGCATGGGATCCCTTAGAACTGGAGTTACCAGATGACTGTGAGCTGTCACTGTGGGTGCTGGTAATAGAACCTGGGTTTTCTAGAAGAGCAGACAATGTTCTTAACTGCTGATCCATCTCTCCAGTCACCCAAGGACTTTGAGTTTTTATTGTTTTGGTTTTGCTAGGAGCAGGGAGAAATTGAGGCTAGCCTGGTAGCATAGAGTTCTAGGTGGACCTACTACCTAGTTCAAACTGGTACACTTTCACAATCTGCTAGAAAATAAAAAGTGGTCTGTTGTCCTGGTTGTTGTTTGTTTGTATAGTTTTATTTTGTTATTTATCAACTCTGACACAAGCTAGAGGGGGCCACCACAACTGAGAAAATGCTTTCATTAGATTGGTTTGTGGGGCATTTTCTTAGTGATTGATGAGGAAGGGCCCAACCCTTTGTGGACGATGCTACTCGTGGGCAGGGATCCTGGATGGTACAAGAAAGCAGACTGAACAAGCCATCAGGACCAAGTCATTAAATGGTTCCTCCACGGCTTCTGCTTCAGTTCCTGCCTCCAGGTTCTTGCCTGGACATCCCTAGATGATGGACTACAAGCTTTGAGATTAAAAAAACCCTTTCTTCCCCAAATTGAATGCTGTGGCACATATACCTGCTCCTACATAAATAAATAAATGTAAAAAATTAAAAGTAAGCTTTAAAAAGAGACTGGTGCGTGGATCTCTGTGAGTTCTAGAGTAGCTTGGTCTACACAGTAAATTACAGGACAGCCAGAGCTACATAACATAGTGAGATCCTAATCTCTCCTAAAAAAATAATCTTTAGGATAAGGCAGACATCTCTTATTACCATAGTAGTGTCCCTTAATCCACAGGAAACAGATTACAAGTTACCAGTAGATGTTTAAAACTGCAGATGCCCAATATTCAGCTCTACATATGCTACATATTTTCCTACACACACATTACTTATGATAAAACTTAATAAATTATGCACAGTAAAAACTTAGCAATATAGAGTAATAATAACATACTACACTATATCTATAATAAAATATGTAAATGTGGTCTCAGAAGTTTACTTTGTTGACCTGTTTTGGAAACAGTATTTTGCTTTGTAGCTTGGGCTGGCCTGGAACATGCTGGTAGCTCAGACTAGTTTTGCACTGGAGAGTCTCCCGCTTCAGACTCCCAGGTGCTGGATGGGAAGCATGTACCGCTTCCTCATCACAAACCGTCTTGTCACAGCAGGAATCACACTTCCTAGGACAATGTACCATGGCTGGGCGATGAGATGAAGCAACCTGCAGTAGAAACATAGACAGATATACAGGGGTGAACAAAGGTACTCCTCAGGCTTACCTAAGAATTCGAAAAGCCAGAAAGGAATGTATCCAACATTTATCATTATGTAGCCAATTAGACTAAGACTGGGATGTAGCTAGGCCCGACATGAGTCATAAGCTGTAATGGAGACCTAGCATATTGGTTGTACCAAGAGTGTGAAACATCTGTCTAGGAAAGCCACAGCAATGAGTGGAGGAGACAGTGGCTGTGTCTGGCAAGGCCACAGGAGCAGTGCTGGTGAAGGCCATTAATACTCATATCATTACACTTGACTCCACACTTGGTTTGGGTTCAGTCTTGCTGTGGTCCAGTTCTGACTTTCTGTTCTTCCATCCCTCCCTTTACACACTGCCTTTGTACGTTGCAGTTGTATAAATTACTTCCTTTTTTTCTTCTTCTTTTTCCTCTCCCTTTATTTATGTACACAGTCTTCTGCCTGCATGAGTGCCTGCAGGCCAGAAGAAGGCAACAGATCTCATTACGGATGGTTGTGAGCTGTCATGTGGTTGTTGGGAACTGAACTCAGGACCTCTGGAAAAGTAGTCAGTGCTCTGAACCTCTGAGCCAGCCATCTCTCTAGTGGCCCCTCTTTCCTTTCACTGACCCATGCAGACCAGGCTGGCCTTGAACCCAAGGGACTCTTCCTATGCTACCCCTCCTAGTGCTGGATTATAGGTGTGTGCTTCCTGAAACTTTCTTCTTGATATTTCAGGGGCTCAGAGCTAAGACTTTGCTTTGAGTCTCAGAAAAGTCTTTGAAGTTAGACTTTGGAACTATGCTGGAATCTCTGGGACTCATGGACTAAATGCATTTTACATTCTGAGGTGGTATGGTGGCTTGGGTGAGTATGGCTCCCACAGTCTTATATGTTTGAATGCCTTGGACTCCAGTTAGTAGATCTATTTGAAGGATTAAGGAGGTATGGCCTTGTTAGAGGAGGCATGTGGGTGGGGTGGACTTTGAGGTTCCAAAAGCTCTGGCCATGTCCTGTGTGATGTTCTTCTATTGACTTAGGGGATGCAAATGAATCTACTGGTATTTTAGTTATCAACTACAGCCTCAAAGCCCCCAGTCAGTGTCCAGCCAGTTACTAAGACTGCAGCCTGGAGGGCTTCCCAGTCCCAAGTGTGACTACGCAATATGTAGATTTAAAGTAAGTCTCTATTGTTCTACTTACCAAAAAAGACTCAGAAGTCAGATATAGGGGTGAAAACCTACAACATCAGAGAAGCCCAGAAGAAACCAACTAACTTTGCTTTTTTGTCCAGTGCCAAACTCTAGTCCCACCCTTCCCTTCCTTTTCATCTTCTCTATTCAAATTCCTGGCTTCTTTATGGCTAATTCCTGTCAGTTAGAAGCTGGCTCTGTCCCCTTATTCATGGTTAACTTTACTTACAGTCTAGGAGTGTCACAGTTTGATCAAATATCCCATAATACCTGTGTCTCTTTCTTTGCCTGCTGTCTGAAGATTGGGATGTAAAGCTCTCAGCTACTGTCCCAAAGCCATGTCTGTCTGCTTCCTTCCATGATCATGGACCACCCCTCTAAACTGTAAGCAAGATCACAATTAAAAAAAACTTATGTGCATTGGTGTTTTGCCTACAGGTAAGTCTGTGTGAGCGTGCCAGGTCTTGGGAGTTATAGACAGTTGTTAGCTGCCATGTGGGTGCTGGGATTTGAACCTGGGTCCTTTGGGAGATCAGTCAGTGCCCTTAACTACTGAGTCTCTCTATAGTCCCACAAGACCACAATTAAAAAATATTCATTTACTTTTTTTGAATTTATTACTTTTATTTTATGTGCATTGGTGTTTTGCCTGTAGGTATGTCTATGTGAGGTGTTACTATAGACAGTTGTGAGCTGTCATATGGATGCTGGGAATTGAACCCAGGCCCTCTGAAAGAGCAACCAGTGCTATTAACTACTGAGGCACCTCTCCAGCCCCACAAGACCACAATTTAAAAAAATATTATTTATGTATTATGTACAAGTGTTCTGCTGCACATATGTCTGCATTACAGAAGAAGGCATCACATCTCATTATAGATGGTTGTGAGCCACCATGTGATTGCTGGGAATTGAATTCAGGACCTCTGCAAGAACACAGTGTTCTTTTTTTTTTTTTTTTTTTTTTTGGTTTTTCAAGACAGGGTTTCTCTGTGGCTTTGGAGGCTGTCCTGGAACTAACTCTTGTAGACCAGGCTGGCCTCGAACTCACAGAGATCCACCTGCCTCTGCCTCCCGAGTGCTGGGATTAAAGGCGTGCGCCACCAACGCCCGGCTCAGACAGTGTTCTTAACCTCTGAGCCATCTCTACAGCCCCACAAGACCACAATTTAATAATTTCCTTTATAAGAGTTGCCTTATAACAGCAACTAAGACAGACAGCCATGAACCTTTGGGGACTAGGGCAGCAATGACAGACAAACAGTTCCTCCTTTCAAGCACTCAGGTACGTTTATCCAGGTCTCACCATCATGAGAGTGAGGGATTTCTCAGCAAGGAGTACTTTGTTTCACAAGCATGTCCTCTAACATCATCATAGTCAATGAGAAAAATGCAGAAATCTGATGGGGCTGCTAAGAGTATTTTACCCTGCTCCTTCCCACTTTTTTTTCTGCCTTAAACCTTTAAATTTGTGGAATAGATGCTTGTGATAGCTGGAACTACAAGGGCTATCTTGCAAACGTGTAAAAGGCTAAGAGTTCAGTTCTGACTTCACTGAAAAAGTTCATCTCTGCCTACCTTTTGGTATTTATTAATAAGAGAGCAATTCTATTACTAAAGCCACAGGGAGGTTGTTGTTGGTGGTGGTGTGTGTGTGAGAGTGTGTGCATGTGTGTAAACACATGTGCACACATACATTTGTTTTGAGGTAGGTTCTCACTTTATAGCCCTGGCTGGTGGTGAAGCTGGCCTTGAACTCACAGATCTGTACACTTCTGCTTCCTGAGTAAGTTTTTGTTTTTGAGACAAGTTGCCACTATATATCCTCGGCTAGCCTGGAACTGCTATGTAGACCATACTGACCTGGTGCACACCTTTTATCTCCTTTAATCTCTTCTCATCTAGATGCCAAGTGTCACCTTCCCTAACTTCTGGCTCTTCTCTGGAAATGCTTAGATCCTGCTAGGTTATGAGCCTATGGCAGGGGACAAGAGGATGATTTCCAGAGACGATGGTGACCAACACATCTCCAGAGCATACGGAGTGGTCAGTGGTTACTCGGAGGCTGTCGTTAGACTACTCCTATGTCTGTGTGCAGATGTACACAGCTTTAAGTTCTCGGGGGGGGGGGGTGGTGGTGGTGGATCAACTGCAAGCTCAGATTCTCCCTTAGGGGCTCTGGTTCCTGAGGAGATCCAAGTATGAAAACAACTATGTAATCAAGTGGCCGACAGCAAGCCTGCTACCCACTGGAGCCCTGGTGTGCTAAGCTGTGCTTGGTCCCACGGCCAACGTTCAAGAACCTTTTCCTGTTGTGACTCTCAAACAGAAGGAAGGCCCTTCCTTCAGCAGAAATTCAGAGGCTAACTAGATGAGATAATGGTGTCATCAGTACCCATACTTACAGAGTCTTCCTACCATATTAGTGCTGTCCCCAGAGTCCCATAAAACCATTCCACCTCCCTCACAAGTCATTGGCCTTCTGGAGGTGACAAGTAGCTTAGCAAAGGGGACATTTAACTGTTTACTAAGGGCTTTGCAATAAAACACCCTATTGCTATCCATAAGAGTAGATACTTTTAAAAAATCATTACATTTTATGGTGGCCTGAGTGAGAATGGCCTCTACAGGTCCATATATTTGAAAGCTCTCCCACAGATGCTGGAACTGTTTGGGAAGTATTATGAGGTATAGTCTTGGAGAAGGGGTGTCACTAGGGGTGGGCTTTGAGATTTCAAAAGCCCAAACCATTCCCAGTTGACTCTCTTTCTCAGCCTGGTGGTTGTCTCAAGATGTAAATTCTAGATACTGCTCCAGTATCATGTCTACTGCCATACTCCCCACAATGGTGGTCATGGACTCACCCTCTGAAACTGTAAGTCCCAATAAACCCTTCTGTAAGTATATGGATGTCAGGGGACTTGTGTGGAAAGTGGTTCTCTCCTTCCACCGTATGGGCCCGGGAATCAAATTCTGTTGTTAGGCATGGCAGCAAGTGCCTTTACCTACTGAGCCATCTTGAGAGCCTGAGGATAAAATATTTTAATGGTAAAGTTAATAATAATGATGATGGGCCGGGCGTTGGTGGCGCACACCTTTAATCCCAGCACTCGGGAGGCAGAGGCAGGCGGATCTCTGTGAGTTTGAGGCCAGCCTGGTCTACAAAGTGAGTTCCAGGACAGCCTCCAAAGCCACAGAGAAACCCTGTCTCGAAAAACCAAAAAAAAAAAAATAATAATGATGATGATGATAGATGATTATTCACCATCCTACTCCACCCATAGTTTCCTAACACCTTCCTAGCTTGGAAGTAATAAAAATTAAATTGAATTATAGAAAAATAAAGTTATATTTATTAATATATGACTTTGTAGGTTAAGTGCTATACTTAATTTTACAACTTGAACTCACTTGTCTTTCACCTATCTTACTTAAGGTTTCAACTCCTGCAATGAAACACCATGATTAAAAAGCAAGTTGGGGAGGAAAGGGTTTATCTGACTTACATTTTCATATTGCCATTCATCATCAAAGGAAGTCAGGACAAGAACTCAGACAGGGTAGAAACCTGGAGGCAGGAGCTGATGCAGAGGTCATGGAGGGATGCTGCTTACTGGCTTGTTCCTCATGGCTTGCCCAGCCTGCTTTCTTTTAGAACCCAGGACTGCCAGCCTAGGGACGGAACCACCCACAACAGGCTGGGCCCTTCCACATCAATCATTGATTAAGAAAATTTCTTAGAGTCAGATCTTTTTTTTTAAAGATTTATTTATTATGCATAGGTGTTCTGCATGCATGTATCTCTGCAGGCCAGAAGAGAGCACCATACCTCATTTTGAACCACCATGTGGTTGCTGGGAATTGAACTCAGGACCTGGAAGAAAACTTGGAGCTCTTAACCTCTGATCCATCTCCAGCCCCAGAGTCAGATCTTACGGAGGCATTTTCTCAATTGAGGTTTCCTCCTTTCAGATAACTCCAGTTTGTGTGTCAAATTGACGTAAGACTAGCCAGCATGTCACCTTTGCCTTCCCCATGTGTGAAGTCTGAGGTTGCTCCTGATTTTGACCTCTTCTTCAGCCCCTCTGTCCCACCATTGCTGCTTCTTGATTTTCTTCCTTCTCTGGAGCCTCTTCCTTCCCATTCTTCCCTCTCTCCCTCTGGAGAGCTTCCATGATTGGAACTAATGGAATCTTTAATGCAGTATTGCCTTACCACAATGCAGCTGCAGCTTCTGAAGAGCTATTCTGTTGGGACAGTCATTTGGATAAAGACCAAAACCCACTCACGATCCTTTTGCATTGGCCTCCATGTGCTAGGATTACAGACACATCACTCTGCTCAGCATGGACTGTTTTAAGTGACCAGGGCAGCCATCTTCTGACTGCAATCTTCTGCACTGTCTTGAGTGATTCCTCACAGCATCCTTTAGTTTGTCCTTATCCTCCTGTCTTAATTCTAGTTTGAAAAGTAGAACTCTCAAGTTTAACTGGAAACATTTTGCAAAGAATATGTCACAGGTACTACTTGGCACTTCATAACACATTACACTAGGAATATCAAATATTAAATTGTCTTAAGCTGGGTGTTGGTGGCACAAGCCTTTAATTCCAGTCTCAAGAGGAAGAGGCAGGCAAATCTCTGTGAGTTCGAGGCCAGCCTGCTCTATAGAGCGAGTTCCAGGACAGCCTCCAAAACAATAGAGAAACCCTGTCTCAAAAAAAATTAAGTTTTTTTTAATGTGTTATTAGGGTTTGAATTAGGGTCTTGCTCATGTGAGGAAAACAATCCTCTTTTTAAAAAACAACAAACTTTATTATAAGAATAGGCTTTTGCTAGGGTGTGCCTCAGCCTCTGGAGCACCTGGGATCATGGCTTGCACCACCATGCCAGGATAAAGTGTCCTAATTTTAGTAATGTTAAGTGTCATCAGTTGGCTGAAATGATGACTGTCAATTAGCCTCCCACAACTGAAATTTTAAAACCACAAGAAAGTTTTCTGGCTTCTTCAAAAAAAATTAAAAGATTTTGTTTGATGTGTTTGACTGTTTTGCTTACATGCATTTTTCGTGTATTAATATGTGTTCCTGGGGGGCTGGAGAGATGGCTCAGAGGTTAAGAGCACTGACTGCTCTTCCAGAGGTCTTGAGTTCAATTCCCAGCAACCACATGGTGGCTCACAACCATCTACAATTCAATCTGGTGTATATGTAATAAATAAATCTTAAAAAAATATGTATTCCTGGTGCCCTCAGAGGTCAGAAGACAGCATTGGATCCCCTGGGACTGGAGTCTCACCATGTGGGTGCTGGGAACTAAACCCAGGTCCTCTGCAGACCAGCAAGTGCTTTTAACTGCTGAGCCATCTCTCCAGCACCATGTTTTCTGGTTTATTTTTTTTTAAAGATTTATTTATGTATTACATATACAGTGTTCTGCCAGAAGAGGGTACCCGATTGAATTGTAGATGGTTATAAGCCACCATGTGGTTGCTGGGAATTGAACTCAGGACCTCTGGAAGAGCAGTTGGTGCTCTTAACCTCTGAGCCATCTCTCCAGCCCTGTTTTCTGGTTTATAAAATCAAACATAAACCAGTATTTCTATATCTCACTATATCTCCTGAGCAATAAGACATGCTCATGCAGACACTTGTATGTGGTACTATAGAAGCTTTAATTATAATTATTGGAAGACTAATATTTAATTGGGGCTAGAAGAGCATTGCAATGTACAAATCCACATCACAATGAAGTACAGGTGTATTCAAAGGCAAGAAGAATTTTATTTATGAATCGGAGTGTTGGTATATAACTCCAGGTTGACATGGAAGTAGTAATCCTCCTGCCTCAGTTTCTTGGGATTCCACTTTTGTGCTACCAGGCTTGCAACAGGAGTATATAAATAAATGTGAAACGCGAAAGAGTACATGAAATACTCTGAGACCGTAATCACTGGCTAAAGTGTCTTTTGCATGATGGCTTCAGTCTAAGACTGAATAGACCGGTGCTGGGTAACGTCCTCACTGGGTACCAGTTGAAAGGTACAACGGCTGTTGTGTAAGGCTGTGCTTCCTGAAGTCTGTGAATAGTTCTTGCTCTCCAACCTGTGCGAATGGGATTCCCAGCTTTGTTTATTCCTTAGGATGGAAGGCTTAACAGAAGTGACTTTAATTCTGACAGTTTTCACAATACCATTTTAACCTTTTTTTTTTTTTTTTGGTTTTTACGAGACAGGGTTTCTCTGTATTGTTTCGGAGGCTATCGGTCCAGCCCGGCCTCGAACTCACAGAGATCCGCCTGCCTCTGCCTCCCGAGTGCTGGGATTAAAGGCGTGCGCCACCACCGCCCGGCTCACAATACCATTTTAAATGCTTTTTTTTTTTTTTAAGATTTATTTATTTGTTACATATACAGTGTTCTACCTACATGCCAGAAGAGGGCACCAGATTGAATTGTAGATTGTTGTGAGCCATCATGTGGTTGCTGGAAATTGAACTCAGGACCCCTGGAAGAGCAGTCAGTGCTCTTAACCTCTGAGCCATCTCTCCAGCCCCCATTTTTTTGGGGGGGGGGTTTGAGACAGGGTTTCTCTGTGGCTTTGGAGGCTGTCCTGGAACTCCCTTGGTAGTCCAGGCTGGTCTCGAACTTACAGAGATCCGCCTGCCTCTGCCTCCAGAGTGCTGGGATTAAAGGCATGCGCCATCAACACCCGGCCTCTCCAGCCCCCATTTTAAACGTTTTTAACCTTTTTTTTTTTTATGTGTATGTTTTGCCTCTACCTATTTCTGTGTAGCACCTGTACCAAGTGCCTGAGGAGGCCAGGTATCGGATTCCCTGGTATTAGTATGACAGACTGATGTGAGCTCCCACATGGGTGTGGGAATTGAACCTGCGCCCTCTAGAAGAGCAACTAGTGCTCTTAACTGCACAACATCAATTTTTGAATTTCATATTGAGTGGTGCCAGTTCTAGCAGTTGTGTTCCTGGTATTGAAGAACCCGGGAAAACTGTTCTGTGGAAGGAGAACCAGAATGAAGGGAAGCGGAGGAGCATTTCATGTCCACAGGGGAGTTTTATGAATGGAGAAGGGTATGTTTGCTGCCTAATTAACGTCAATTCCTCCTCCTCCTTTCTCCTTTTCAAGTACCACATTCTGGAGCTTGAAAGCACCTTCCTCCACAAAGCCATATGCTATACTAAACCAGTTCCGTTTCTCTCCCACCCCCTGGCATAGGGACTGGGTTAGGAAGGGAATTGTAACTCATTTCAAACCAATGGGTTCTGAAGGAAAACCTCCAAAGAGACTTCTAGAAAACAGTCCCTTTCTTAGGAGGTTGATGCTTCTTCCTCTGCCTGAGGCACCTCCACGTGGTGCTCCAAAGTGCTGCAGCTACCTTGCCATCAGCCTGGGACAACACTCACACAGACAAGGGCGTGTCTTCAGAGTCAGAGTGGAACTGAAGCCCCGCAGCACTGTGCAAAACTCTCCCCTCATTTTCCCTGCTGTCTGAGCCATCTGAGATGGGTTTTCCTGATACAACACATAATACCCCCAAACAGCTGAATGCCTTCATTGAATGCTTTCTTTACTTTTTGGAAAGTGCTGGGATCAAATCAAATTCGCAAGAGTCTTGTGAATACTTCTCCACTGAGCCCTAATATTTGTTTCAAATGGTGGTAACATTGGGCCCACCTAAAAGAGTGGCCAGGGGACTGCACCCAGGCTGGCAGGCGTGGCCACACGCCTTTATACTGAACTATTTCCCTGACCTTGATAACAGAAATCTTTTTTATTTCTGGACTTCCTTTGTGCATTTGCTGTGTTCCATCCCCCAATTTTGTTAGCTTATTCTTGTCTGGCTCCAAAGCCCCATTTTTTTTTTTCCTTTTCCCATCTTCTCTGCCTGCCTTCCCTATGTTTTCTTTTTTTTTAATTTTTTCCTTTTAATAATAATATTAAAATATTCCTGGGATTATTTTAAAAAGTAGGAAAAAAAAAGACACAATGTAATTGGATGGTCCTAAAGTTGTAGATCAAAAAGTCCAGATCAAGCCGGGCGTTGGTGACGCACGCCTTTAATCCCAGCACTCGGGAGACAGAGGCAGGTGGATCTCTGTGAGTTCGAGGCCAGCCTGGTCTACAGAGCAGAGTTCCAGGACAGCCTCCAAAACAATAGAGAAATTCTGTCTCGAAAAACAAAACAAAAATAAATAAATAAAATAAAAATAAATAAAATAATTTCTTTCGGGGCTGGAGAGGTAGCTCATAGGTTAAGAGCACTGGCTGCTCTTCTAGAGGTTCTGAGTTCAATTCTCAGCAAACGCAGGTGGCTCCCAACCATCTATAATGAGATTTGATGCCCTCTTCTGGCCTGCATACATAATAAATAAATTCTTTCTTTTTATTTTACATGTATGGGTGTTCTGATCTGAATGAAATATTTGTTTGTCACATGTGAACTGTGCCCAAGGAGGCTGTCCGAGCTCCCAAGACTGGAGTTATAGACAGTTGTGAGCTGCACTGCAGATGCTGGGAACTAAATCTGGATGCTCTGTGAAAGCAACCAGTGCTCTTAACAGCTGAGCCACCTTTTCATCCTTCAACTTTTTTTGGGTGGGGAAGTGGGTGGGCAGGGTTGAGACAGGATTTCTCTATGTAGCTGTGGCTGTCCTGGAACTCACAGCCTCCAAAACAATACAGAGAAACGCTGTCTGGAAAAACCAAAAAATAAAAAATAAGGATAAAAACTAAGCTAGACGTCTCTTTATCATTGCCTCTCTTTTCTAGTTGCAACCATTATCAACGTTTTCAGGACCATTTTCCAGTGTTCTTTTTATATATTTTATTGTATCTACATATATATCTATCTTTGTTTAAAGAAAATAAGAATGACCCTGAGGGGAGACCTACTGAGACATTTGTTGAAGAAAAAGAGTGAACAATCATTTACTAAAGTCTACTATGGACTGTTTTTTTTTTTTTTTTTTGAGACAACGTTTCTCTGGCTTTGGAGGCTGTCCTGGAACTCGCTTTGTAGACCAGGCTGGCCTCGAACTCACATCACAAAGATCCTCCTGCTTCTGCCTCCCGAGTGCTGGAATTAAAGGCGTGCGCCACCACCGCCCGGCGGCGGACTGCTTCATTTTTGACCAAGTTTTTCATTTACACTTTAGAATTTAGGAACCACCCATTTCACAAAACCAAACAAAATACCTACTATATGTGAAACCCCGTGCATAGCATGAAGGTTCTGGTATTTCAGTTCTGGAGCTTCTTTCCGACACTGGGCTCCAACGCGGCATTTAGGAGAATACCTTGGGGCTAGAAGAGGCCATTAAATGTTTCAAAGAATGCGAGGCTAGCAGGTAGCAACGCGGGAGTCACACCACAGCTGGTCGCCAGGCGGCTGGTGGAGATCACGCCTGCGCGAGTCGCGCGCCCGAGGGAGGGGGCGGAGCTTTGGGCCTGCCAGCTTTGGGCCCGCCAGTGCGCCTGCGCACAGCCCGCCGCGGAGTGGGGGAGGGCGGCCCGTGTGTGTCTGTGTTGTTGTTCCGCGGCGGCGGCGGCGGCGATAAGATGGCTGCCCACGGGGGCTCCGCGGCGTCGTCGGCGCTCAAGGGGTTAATCCAGCAGTTCACCGCTATCACCGGTAAGAGACGCGGTTACGGGAAGGTGAAGAGTAGGGGGTCGGGAGGCTGTCGGGCTGCCCCCGGCTTCACCTCACCTTCGCGCCTTCCTCCCTCGGGCTCTCCCCTCAGCTCCTGTCCTCTCTCCTGAGGAACAGGCGGCGACGGCGCCCGGGGTCTGCGGTTCGGGCGGGAGGCAGCTTCCCCCCCGCGCGTGCCCCCGGCCCCTCGATTCGGTCTCCTCTCAGTTCCCAGACAGGCCCCCACGCCCCCTGCCAGCCCAGACCAGGGGATGGGCCGAGCCCGCGGTCCCCAGGCCGGGGACCTGCGGGCGGGAGGAGTAGGGGGCCGCACCCGGGCCACCGCCCTCTTCCTTCTTCATCACCTTCTCGGGGTACCGTGCGGCCGGCGGAAAGGGGGTGCAGTGCGTCCCCTCACCTTGCCCTCTCTTCCCGGCCGGGTCATCCTCCCTCCACCCCTGCCTGCCCTTCCCCGCGCTGGGCCCCCCGGAGCCTTGGCGGTGGCCCTGGCGTGTGAGGGCCTTCTCGCCTTAACGGCGAGGCCGGGGGCTTCTGCCGCGCCTTTGCACACCCCGGGGGACTTGCCGCCAGGAACAAGGGGTGCGGAGGAGTGCCTTAGGGACGGAGGGTGTAAGATAGGAATGAGGGGGACCCCTAAGCGTAATGGGGGGAGGCCTAGAGTAATCCTGGGTGACCTTTCCCACATCCTCATAATAAAATCAAAGATCCGAGACGATGGCGCCCGAGCCCTTGCTGATAAAATAGGGATGGCGGCAGAAACTTCTTGCAGAGAAATCTGTTTCTGGGTGTCAATATCCGCGAAACCTTGGGCCTAGGTTTTTCTTTCCATTCGGACCCCGACGAAGGGCAGACGCAGGCTCTCTTAGCCCGGAGGGAAGGCTCTAAGCCATTCTATGAATGCGCTGTGTCTTGTTTCTCTCTGATGGTGCTCAACTTTTTTTGCATGAGTTATTAGAGGGCGGAGCAAATGATGAAGTTCTCTGTGGAGTGATTTGAGAGAGCAGTACTCCATGTGCCTGAGTGTGATTTTGCTGTTCTAGTTTGTCATTTTGAAAAGAGGTCAGAAAGTTAGTTCCCGCTCTCAGTAGGGCTATCTTTTGGTAATAATGTGTTAGATGTGGAGAATATTTCTAGTTCATGTTCTTGAGTTTGATTTGTCAGATTTGTAAGACATGGTATTTTAACCAATACACGCTGTTTGCAGTTTTATAATTGAAGCTAGTTTTATTTTTTGCTCTGCAACTATAATTAAGATTGTTGCTGCATTTTTTGTCTTCTCATGTGAAATATGTTAAAGCTTGTAAAATAAGATTTGTAATAAAGTTGAGGTGAAAAGTTAAGATAACTGAAAATATTGTTAAGCTTTGTGGTCAGACTATTGTATACAATATGTGGATTTCCCGGTGTCTAACCAAACCAACATTATGGGAAGAAAATAGATTTCTGTGAATACAAGGTAATACTGCTGCATTGTTTACATAGAAAAATCTCGTAAGTCAAACAGAAATGTTGATTTTTTTTTTCTGGGTGTCCTAGAGATAGTTTAAGATGTCACTATTTAATTTTAGGTTCTTGGGAAAATTACTACTACTTCATTTTCTTCGAATTGGTATCATTCAGAAACTCAGTTGCTTTAACTTCATATTATTTCTTGTGCAACATTTTGAAAACATATACACAGAAACCAAAATGTGCTGAAATAAATAGACTCAATGGCTTTAACACTATTTTTGTCTGCCGGTCTTGTTTCTGGCCTAGGTTCCTGTGTTGCTGGATCAGATTGGAATCCCCTGGTACATAGTGGTTTCTGGAAGTCTACAGAAGGAAAAATTTCTTAGAGTGGTCTTTTTGTGGGGCAGGCTGGCTTCAAACTCTGAATTCTCTTGCCTTAGCTTCTGGCTGCTGCATTTACAGGCATGAGCCACTTATCTATCTATCTATCTATCTATCTATCTATCTATCTATCTATCTATCTATCTTGTTTTTTTGAGACAGGGTTTCTCTGTATTGTTTTGGAGGCTGTCCTGGAACTCCCTCAGTAGACCAGGCTGGCCTCGAACTGAGGGAAATCCACCTGTCTCTGCCTCCCGAGTGCTGTGATTAAAGGCATGTGCCACCACTGCCCGGTTTCTTTTATTTATTTATTTTTTTGTTGTGGGTATTAAACTTAAGGCCTTTACTATGTTAAGACTCAAAGCCCACTAAAAGTTAAAAATATTTTTGGGGAGTCATTGATGAGGAGTGAATGCTGAATGCTGTTCTGTCTGCTTCTGAGCTACAGTGTCAGCCAGGCTATACATATTTCATTTTTCTTTTTTTGAGACAGGGTCTCACCATATGACTGCTGACTTATGTGGATTAGGCTGGCCTTGAACAGATAGATCTCCCTGCTTCTGCCTGTTTCCCCAGTGCTGTATACCAGCCAGGCTTTGAATTTCTATTGATAAATTTTAGGACTCTTTAGATGATTGTGATGAACTATTTGAAACTTGATTAATCCTAATGTGGTGCCATACAGTTAATCTTTATTTATTTTGTTTGTTTTTGGTTTTCGAGACAGGGTTTCTCTGTATTGTTTTGGAGGCTGTCCTGGAACTCACTCTGTAGACCAGGCTGGCCTCGAACTCATTAGAGATCCTCCTGCCTCTGCCTCCCAATTGCTGGAATCAAAGGTTTGTGCAACCATGTCCAACTTCAGGAGATCTTGATCTTGTGTGAAGTAGTGAGACCCTTTCTTCAGAAAAAATAAGGCAGGCATGCCCAAATGACATCTTATAACCATCTGTAACTCTGGTCTAAGGGTTTGACCCTCATTGGTACCAGGAACGTGTATGTTTCATGAAGCAGGCGGACATATAGGCAAAACTCATATGCATACATTAAAAAAGAATACATCTTCAACAAATTATTCAAAAGATGTATGTCACTATGAAGGAGTTTTTGGGAAAATGGAAGAAATGAATTCTCCACTATTACCATAGCAGTATTGTATATTTTACATATTCTTCCTTGTTTGTCCCAGCCTGGACTGGTACTTACAATCTTCCTGCTTTTTTCCTTCTAAGTCTGAAACAAATGCTTTATGTACTTGGCTCTCTCCATATACTATGGATCATGGTATACATAATACAGAGTCCAGACTACTTCACTTAGTGGTTACAAGTTAAATATTTTGGTGATCTTTGATGCGAACTTATGAAGAGCCTATCTTTGTTGTGTAAAGCTAGGTAAGAAAACTAGGGTGGGTGAGATGGCTGACCTTTCCATTCCCTAGAACCTGGTGGATAGGAGAGGAATAGTCCTTTGTGTACACCACAGCATGTACACACACACACACACACACACACACACACAGAGAGAGAGAGACTTTTTCATTTTCATACACTCTCTAAATGTGATAAATACGTTACAAAAGAGAGAAGAAAATTAGTGCTACTAAATTTTGTTATTTTTGTTTTGAGACAGGGTTTTGTATAGCGTAGGCTGGCCTCAGGTCTATCCTATGCAGCAGGTTGTTTTGAACTCCTGATCTCCCTGTCTCCACTTCCCAAATGCTAGGATTATGGTTTTGTGCTTGAACTCAGGGCTTTGTGCAAGGTAACCCCCACCCCAAACAGGGTTTCTCTGTGGCTTTGGAGGCTGTACATCCTCTATTCTTGATGTTCTATAATTATACCACATTTAAAAATATTTGTAGTCATATTAGTTTCCCAACTACTAACTGGGCCCAACCCTACTTAGCCTCTGAGAGCAGACATAATTCTCAAAACATGAAGAAATAATGTAGTATTGGATCTATTCTGGGAAGACAGTTTTTCAAAAAATGTTTTGAACCCTGAAATGTTCCATTAACAACAACCTGGACTGGTGTCTAATTACATAATATTACTAATTTTACACATATAATCAGAATAATTCTAGAGGTAAAAAGGACAGTGGCACATACTTGTAATATCAGCATTTGTTCATTGCTGTCTTCTGTTATGTAGTGAGTTCAAGGTCACACTGGGTTGAATAAGACCCTCAGAACCAACAATCTTTCCTTCCTTCCTTCCTTCCTTCCTTCCTTCCTTCCTTCCTTCCTTCCTTCCTTCCTTCCTTTGGGAGGGGTAGGGAAAGACCTGTAACTGTCCTGTAACTCACTGTGTAGACCAGGCTGTTCTTGAACATTACAAAGATCTACCTGCCTCTGCCTCTAGACTTCTGGGATTAAAGTCATGTGTCACCATCTCCAGTCCTGAAATTAAAAAAAAAAAAACAAAAAAACAACTGGAAGCTGAGAAGACTTTGAGACTAGTAATGATGTTTTTTAAATTACTTGCTTATGTATGCCTGTATTTGTGTCAGGAAGTAGGAAGAGAGTGTTGGATCCCGTGGGGCTCAAGTTAGAGGTGGTTGGGAGCCTCATGATATGGGTGGTGGGAACCAAACTCCAGTTCTCTGCAAGAACAGCAAGTGCCCTTAACCTCAAAGCCTTCACTCCAATCACACAGATTTTCATAGTTTTGTGCATAATGGGCGTTTGTATAGTTCAAAAAGTTATAGAATCTCATTGTAGAAGAGACCTTAGTTTACTATTTCTCCAAAAGTTTTGAATGAATGAATTATTAGTCTTATTATTTGAGATGGGGTCTTACTATGTAGCCCTGGCTGTCCTGGAACTCACTATGCATATCAAGCTGGCCTTGAACTCAGAGACCAAGTACTGGGTGTGTGTACACCACCATACCTGGCTTGGATATTTATTTTAACATTAAAAATATTGGTGTGAGTAATATTTGGCTTTGGGTCAGTTCCAATCCTATTTTTTGTGTATTTCTCTTGGATTGATACTAAACTGTGTTTGAGAGCATTGTGTAAGGAAACATTGCCATGATCTAAATATTAAAGGAAAAATCCCTGGAATTTTAGTAATTATTTCAAAAGAAGGTAATGAAATTTGACCAAAAAATTCAGGTGCCAGGCATGATGTCCCACACTTTTAACCTTGGCACTTGGGAAGCTAAGGTAGGCAGGTCTGAGTGCCAGGCCCCCCATGGTACAAGGTGACACCTTGTGTCCAGAAACAAAAAGAAAACCAACCAGAAAGCTAATGTAAAAACACAGGAAGTGATACAGAGACTTCCCAGAAGAAAGAATTTCCTATTTGAACCTA